GGTTTCTTAGGGATAAGTACACTTATTTCTGCAATCCTATGGTTCTAAGTCTTAATGCAACATGAAATTGAACTTCACCTATGAGATTAAGGGGGTTTAGTAGATTGTTAGGGTCAATGAGTTAAGGGATTAACCTTTGACTAGTTATATGTGAAACTGATTATCAATTAACTAATTGCTTGAATATTCAGAAGTATAATTGAATCAATAGTGGCATTCTTGAGAAGTAAATTCCTAACTATTCATTCATTCATATCTCAGCTCAACACAACTTTCATTCTCTGTTTTACTACAAGTTTAATTCTTTGTATTGTTCTGGTTTATTGCTTGTACATGTTACTATTCTTCCAAATTCGTATGACTCAAATAATTATTGTTCTGTGAATTGATAATTGATTTCCTAATTCCCTGTGAAGACGATACTCTGATCTTTAAATTACTCATTACTTGCTGCAATTCCTAGTGCACTTGCTAGTGTTTGGAAATTGTAACAACATTGATCAGTAAGTAGTCTTCATTAATCTCTGTCCAAATATTCATCTCGAGGTAAGAAAAGCTATATTTTATCCTTAGAACATAACAAATATCTTGTTCTCACAGGAGTATTACCACTGTATAAAGTGTATGTTTGATTAAAGTTGTTTTGTAATAGAAAGCTAATGATGTATGTTTTTGGTTAGGTTAAGTGATTACACTGTACTTGTATGAGATATACTGATTGATTGAAATGTTGTATTATATTTATGTAAAATATGTAATGAAGACTTAGTTAGGATATATCATGAAAGACTGTGATACTTTAGTTGGATGATGTTTCATTGTGATGACTGAATATAGGTATTAGCTTAATACTTTTAAACTATATATGATTGAGACTTAGTCTAAAAGTGCTTTATTAAACGCGATCTTTTAGCTAGATAAGGGAAGTGGTATGAAAATGAATATGGTATGAGTACAAAGTGCTTATGGATCTAGTGTGAATAGTTACAAGGATACACTGGAAGTATAGAGTTCGGAGACGATAAAAAATCTGAGAGAAACGTAGGGTGGTGAGTGACATTTGCATATGTGTACACATTTTTCTGAAAGCGAATGCGTCACATGGCCTCACACTCATTTTCTGACTAAACTGTTGACTATACTTTTGTTAAGAGGTCCATTATTGTAAATATTATATTCATATGCATGAGCTAATCAGTGACTATTTACCTAGTTGTATAAGACCTCAAGAAGTGTTGAAGATATCATATATCGGTTATCATAGTGTACTGAGAGTGCGTATTTGAAAGATAGAAATATAATGACTTGTGATAAATTTTATGTATGTGTGTGACTGACTATGTGAGGGTTGTTGTACTATTTTGTGGTTGAAATTATTAAGTTTTCTTTTATTCCATGATTATAATTGTACTATGATGTTAATATTTAATATTAAGTTATGTTTAATGATAAGATAGATGTTCATCCTTGCTAAATATTTCAATAAATAAGGATGGCAACACCTCCAAAGATGAATTAGATTAGTAGATAGTCATGAAAATTATAGAATAAATTATGTATTTAGTGAATATTAGAAATTTTGTTATTTTTGGTTTGTTGTAGTTTATGATGATGATGATGTGTGTGTGTGTGTGTGTGTGTGTATATATATATATATATATATATATATATACTTTAGAACTATTATAATGTTCCCTTAGATTTTTCTGTAAACAATAAGATTCACCATACCCTTTGCATTTATATTTATAGAGGAATAGTTAGAACTCTAGCTGCTGTGAGTTATCTGTGCTCCTACTTCAATCATGATCTTCTTGGAAGGCTGGCACAAGTGACCATTGAGCGGATCATGGGTGTTGAAGTTAAGGCTGATTCTGACGATCTCTACCTTGGAGAGGATAAAGATCTAGATTCTGAGAATCTAGCAGAGATAGTATGATAATGACTAGTATTGGATCTTTAGTTTTTGGATATAGGTTGTGACTGCTCTGCATTATGTAATTATTATTCTAAGTCCTATATATTTTGATTAACAACTTTTAAATTATTACATCGATTACATGTAAATGAAAGTTTAGTACCTTAATTTCTTTAATTGTTTTGATGTACTATAATTATTAAATTGCATTTTATCTTATCTCATTCCATCGTGTTGGTAAAATTTTGTGAATGGCTTTATTTATGAAAAAGTTTTAATTTTTTCACATTTTTATTACCTATCACAAATGAAATTTATCTTATTTATCCTATTTTTATATGATATATTGTTTTATTTGAAAGTAAAAATCTAAGGATGTTACACCAACCATGTAATTAGCACCTGCATTAGTTTACACAAATTACAAAATTAATTTTTTTTATTTTTTAGAATTTTAAAATAATAAATAAAATATAAAATGATTAATACTTTAAATAAAAGTCTAAAAATTGAGAAGTTTAAGCTACAAAATTCTCGCATCATAAACAATGTTTAGAGAGAAAAAAATGGAAAGAAACATAAGTGGGAGGAAGAAGGAGAAAAAGAAAGAAGAGAAGGAGAGAATGATGTTGACGGTTATTGTTTGACTTGATATATGTTAGTCAATAGATAACTTTTGTCAAAGGTGTGGTGAAACTTAATTTCATTATGAACAACACAAAACTATTGTGATGTTGTCATGTGTTCACAAAATTCTTTAATCAGTCAGTTTAAATTTTATTATTTTTTTAATTTTATTTTATAATTTTCATGATTCTTATTATGAGTATTAAGCTTAATTGTTTTATTGAACTGGATTGTAACAACACTTTTAGATATGTAGTGTAATTTTATTAATTTTTCACTTTTTGTGACAATATATTTAAAATAATAAAAAATAAAATATTTTTACCAGCAACGTTAACAAAATTTACGACACATAGCTAAATTTATCTATAAAATAATTAAAAGTTATACATAATTAATTTTTTTCAATTTATATTATATAAATAAAAAATCACAAATTCTAAACAATGTATAAAATATCATCTATTGCATTTAATATCAAACTCTCATACAAAAGACTTCCATTCAACGATAAAACTTGATACAACATATTCCATATCAATTCTTCTTCCTATCACAATCATATCATATATACTGTCCTAACAAAACTACAGCACCCTAACCTAATAACTCATTTGCTAAGAAACATTAATATCAATACAAGAATTATCCAAAGACATTACCATTTTTCTTTTTTGAAAAATTAATTACCTCATCTTCATCCCATTCATCCACTGCAACAAAACAAATGACTTTATGATATTACTTTCGTGATTCATACACATTGTCTTACCATTCAGAAATAGTAACAATAAAATCACTATGTAAATCAACAATTAAACTCAGAGATTGAAAAATAAATAATAATAATGTAATTATATGTATTATATCGTTATCCAATTTATTTTCAAAATATATTTCATTCAAATTAAAATAAATAAAAATTTTTAAAAATCAAAATTGGTTAAGTGATTATTTTTTAAATAATAATAAAATATTTGAAAAGTACTATTTTATAATTTTATTAAGAAATTCATATTTTTATAATTAAAAAAAATATGAAAAAGGCATTTTATATGGTGTACTTTATAAATATCTTACCTGAATTGAATTAGTGATGGTAATTATTGGTTTAGGGTGATGCAATGAATGGTAGGTCCTGTTATTCTCAAGTTGCAATTAATGGCAAGTTGCGAACGCTTTAGCAGCCTCTGAGGCATATCATATCCTTGCTTAAGCATTTCAACTTCCTAGTTTCGAGGCATATCATTGCCCATACCCTCCCCTTCACCCGCTTGCAGACTCTTCCATGATCTGTCATTGCCTTATTATTTTGCAGTAAGTTCCAATAGATCTTTTATTTATAAAACTTTGAGGTGAGTGAATGGTATCATAAATTAAGATAGAAGAAGTTGACATATTTATATAACACTTGCAGAAAATTTATAGAAGGAAAATTACAATTGATGAAGCAGAGATTTCAATGGAGAAAGGACTCCTTATTTACATGGTTCAAAGGATTTCATTTCATAAATAAGAGACTATTAGAATCTATTTGATCTAATTCAATTTTAAACACCAAATTAACGAAAGAAAATTATATATTGAAGAATATGAAATATTTTAACACTCTTTTAGCCTGAAAGTTGGATATTTGACACATAATATTTATAAGATTAAACATTTGTAATGACCTAATATTGAAATTCAATAACTTTTAACATTATATTAATAATAAATCAGTATAATCTTATAAAAAGATTATTAACTATATTTTTAACTAATGCAAAATATCTTAATACAAATGATAATCAAATCTGCTGAAATTTATATATTTGAACATAATTTTGAACAATTTAAATTGAATATTATAACAACACTAATTAACAAAGACACCTTCTCAAAGAATCTTGTTAAGGAATCATATTAATTTAATATAAATATGATTGATTCTGGTTGAAGAATCTCTCCATTCGCAAACAGCTAACCAAAATAGAAAGGCACATGTCCTTGCCATGACAACGTGGCGTGGCCTTTGGATGAAGTAAGTAGCACGTCATCATTGGGACATTGTTGTCATTTCATTACTTAGAATTTCAGTTCCAAGTTCCCCCAACTTGTCGAACAACCGCAACAAAACTGCTGATAGTCAATTAAAGACTCAATTTTGAACACGACAAATAGATCTTCAACTTAACTCTTATTTATATATTATATAATCTTTTTTTCCAGCCATATGGTAAGGATAAGTTGTGGATATTGTTGGATATATGACTCATATCTGTTTCCATAGATTTTTTCCAAGTCACTATCTTGGTGCTCTTTCTTCTTTTGTAGCCATCTTGGGTTGGATTTGTTGTCGTGTTTGACCATGCTGGAATCTCTTTGATAGGGTGCTTTGGCTAGCTTGAGCTTCACGTTTTGTTTCCTGTATGTGATCAAAACTCATTTCATATTGCAAATTGCAATATTTTTTAGCGTTTCTTCTGTGCATGTTCGGAATTTTGGTTGTTTGAGACGGGGTTTTGGTGTTTGTGATTCTGGGTGTTGGAAAAGGTTGGATTTTGATGGGTGTGGGCCTGTGGTTTATCTTTCTCTTTGTTCTTAGAAATCACAAGTTGAATTTTTCTGCGGAATGTAACTGAATTTGTTCGTATTGTCCATTTGTTGTTTTGTGTGACTCTTTTTTGGTAAAGGGTATTTTCTTCTTCTCAGTAGAGATTGTTGCGTGATGCGGCTGGATTTCTATGTGTAGAGTTTTATACTGTAACATGTGGTATGATCCGTTTCCACCTCTGCTATGACGCGGTTTCGTAATATGTTAGGTCAGTGGAGTGAATTTAGGGGGGAGTTTGGCAAGTGAAGCTCTGTGATTTCACTTTATTTCTTTTTTGGTCGACCAACATGACATCAATAGTTTAATTACAAAGAAAATTGCTTCCATTTGACTCAAAGTTTAGTACCTTTAGTCTTTCGGTGCTTTGAGCTTCATACATGTACTTCTGTTCTTGATTGGGATTCCAATCGCTTTTTTTTGTGGTACAATTGAGAGCCCTGCCCAATTTTGCTATCGTTATACCTGTTATGTGTAATGGAGGAAGCTTTTCTCTTATATGCCTGAAAAGTGTGTTACTTTGGCTTAGTTTTATCAAAGGATGCTTTATTAAGGTGTACCCTAAATGAGGGAGGAATCGAAATGTGTAATTTGATTTCATTGTCTCTTCCCTGTATCATATTTTTTCTACTTTTATGTATGTTAGGTTTGTGTTTCTACTTACTCTATAAGAGATAAAATGTGAAAATTATGTAATGAGGTGAAAATTGGTGGAGTAAATGCAGATAAAGGAGAAAAGAAAAATAATGTTTCGAGAAGGATTGTAAGCTAAAACCTTTCATTTATACCTTGCAGGTTTGTATTTGCTAAGTGCTCTCATCAAAGGGACTAGATGGGTACCATTATTGAAGCTGATGACTCATTTACCAAGATTCTAGGAAGATGGCCTATCTTTTATTATGGCACGGGACACATGCTCAATGACATAACTGCTGCTTGTTGGTTCACCTATCTACTATTGTTCTTGACTGATATTGGACTTTCATCAAGGTGCATTTTGTGATAATTCTTGTTTTGGACTTACCAAGTATTTTAGCTATGTTTTGTGTAAATACTTGTTAATTGATGTAATTGAAAGTTGGAAGGGAAGACTTGAAAGAGTTTGCTGTCACTAAAGATTTGGTAGAAATCCAATTAATAGATTGAGTGGAAAGCAGCCTGGGATGATTTGCTCTTACACTTGTGTATGAAAGGCCTGACATAGATTTAAACTAATTTGCAGTATGAAAATAGTTTGTTATTTTAATAGCAGATATTCCATAAAGGATATCAAGGATAATAACAAGGTGCAGTTTGCTAGCTTTGGTAGGCATAGATGTGTTAGTTGAGTCAGGTAGTGAACTTGTGAACATGCTATGTCATTTTCTTCATCTTAGGCTACTTCTAGTGATATGTATATATCCTGCTATGGACAATATTTTGCACATTGTTATGTACTGTTAATAGTACAATAAATGATTTTCAAGATGTTAATATTGAATTTTGTACCACATGATAAAAAGCTTAGTATTCTTGGATCTTCCACAAAAGTCTGCTTGATGCTTCCATATTTTGTGTTTCTGACATATCTTTGTTCTCTCATTTCATAGGAATGCCGCTGCTGTGATGCTTTCAGGTCAAGTGGCTGATGGATTTGCCACCATATTTGTTGGTGAACTGGTACTTAAACATAATTTTTCTTTCATTCTAGGGAAATATTTTATATGCTTCTGTAACTAAACTTCATAATCTTGGGGGAGGGGGTGGCTCTAGCCACATATTGCTCTACTCTAGGTTGTGTAATAACTGAGGAATCAGATCTTTTGTTTTCAAGGCTAAGCTGAGTTTATCTGATGGTTTCTAGCTACCTGATATTATTTTATATATCTCCCCTCTCTCATAAAATTGTTAAGTTTACTTAAATCCTTCTATTAATGTACCTTATTTTAATAATGTATTACTGATTGTGCGGAAATAACACTAAGTAGAAACATTCCTTTGACATCATACTAACAGAGTTGTTTGTTTCTTTTGCGTTTAAGAAAACTTTAAATATCTCTTTTCCCTTGTCTCATTTTTTGGTGCTATTACCTTATCCCATTGTGTGTTTTTCAGACCTTATTTTGATGGAAATGCTAATTTCCATTGTCTTGCTTGATAGATAGACAGGTTTGGACATTTCAAGATATGGCATGGTGCTGGATCTTTATTGGTGGCTATTTCATTTTCTTCCGTTTTTGGTGTTTGTCTACCTTGCAATATTTTTGGATCAAATTCATCCAATTTTAAAACTGTGAGTTACAGTGTGTTTGCGGCAATCTTCAATGTGGGCTGGGCTGCTACTCAGGTTTCACACATGTAATTATTTCCTCTAATTGATCTTTTCCATTTGAAGCTGAAAATAAACCTATAAGTTCAAACTTTCAAACTAAAAGTGGTTGGCTGGTTCACTCACCTATGAAATGATATTCTGCCCCATACTCTTGGAATCTTAGACTAAAATTTTTTAAGTATCTCTACATTATTGACTTCTTGATATTTATGCGATATCTATCTCTAAATATTGGGATAAGCCATAATTTTGTTAAGAAATGCAATTTGTGTGAAAGGATGTGGTTTTTGTGGTGATGTTGCTGGAAGATTGAATGTAAGGAATATTCATAATTAAGGATGTCTGATTTTTGTGATTTCATTTTTAATTGCCAGCAGTAATTACTAGTTTAGTAACTAAGAGTCTCGGAATGATATGAAACAAAATCAATTTATAAACCAAATAGCATCATTGAACTCTATAATTTATAATTTATATGGATAAAAGAAGAATCAAATGAAAAGGCATAGGTTCCTAGCCCTTCAATATAAAATTTATGTTCATTAATGTCTTCTTTGATTGCTTTCTTGAAGGTCCATGGTGAGTTGCATCACACTGAACTCTACAAGCAGAGTTGCACTGGCTAGCTGTCGCAATGCTTTTACCATGGTAAGATTGTAGTGAACTTCTTTTCATATAAATTAATTTGTTAATATGAATTACTAATGCATAGAATTAATTGTCTTTAAAGGTTGCCAACCTAAGCTTGTATGCAGTTGCATTGATAATATTCAGTGTCATCAATGGAAAAACACATGCTGATGTTGAAAATCAGGTATGTATGCTGGTAATTGTTTGGAATCATCTGTAATCATCTTTTGTCAAGCATAATCACTTTGTTACTCCTCCAAACAAGCAGTACCGCTGGATTGCATATCTGTCAATTTTTATTGGATGTTGCTTTGTGGGCATATTTCATCTTGCAACCAAGGAGCCCAGGTGTGCTTCGAGACTTACTGCAGTTATTATCCAAGGATTAAGTTTTTTCTGTTTTCAGACTTTAATAGACATACTGTGTTTGGAAAGATGATCGTGTACATACTGTTGATGATATGAATATGATGTATGTGTCAGTGGTAAATGAGGAAAAGCAATGCTTGAATAAACCCTTTGGAGCTAAATTAAGTTAAAATATTAAAAGTCACCAAATCTACCTTGTAGAGAACTTGTGAAAGCAAATGTAAACTTAGTTTCAGAGCAAGCTTAGAATTGTAGAACTTCAACCATACAAAGCCCTTCTTATCATTGTTCATACGAGCCAATATCCCTCTCAAAATCAGCTACGGTTTTGGAAAACTGATAAATTTTCTTGTGTTTTCTACATAGATTGAAGGTGGGTGTACATGGAAAGGCTCATGCAAGGATTTCGTGGGTTTACTGGTTCAAGAGAGTTTTGTATTATCAGGTTGCACTTGTTTATGTTCTCACAAGACTGGTTCTCAACGTTTCACAGGTTAGCACACTTATTGTTTCTTGCTTAAGTTTGTTCATTATCTTGGAAAGGAATATCTATTGGTTATGCAGTATGTTGGGATTCATATGTTTGATAGCATGTAAGGAAGACACTCCTTTAGGCACATAAAAGTGTCAAGATGTCTTACTAAAATAGTAAGGTAGAAAACAAAAAAAGGGGAGGTTGAATTTGTTTTCACTTTTCTAAAAATTTTTGTGAGCTTTTAATTTTGTAAGATGCAGGGTAAATATGAGGTATAAAGACACAGAAATATGCACAAAGATTTATAGTGATTCAGTATCAAATCTGAGGGCTATGTCCAGTCCTTGACGTTATGTCAAGAATTTCAGTATAAACTGAGATTACAACCAGTATCATATCACCCAAATATTTTTGTACAGCCTCTCCAGGCTCAAATAAACTCAAGTATTATATTACAAGACTGCCTCTTTAGGTTAAAAAATTATTCACACCAAGTATTTTTCAATCTGCCTCTTCAGACTTAACACAAATTCTTTTTACAAAAAAATGTTTATATAGAAAGAATGATAGTATCCACAAGAATGTTTACGTTACATATTAAAATTTGTTTGTTAGACTCTTGAAATTGCACTTTTATAAAGTTTTCTGATGTGTCTAGGACCTTTTGTACTTAAGGTGCTTTTTAGCTCTTTTGTACTCTCAACTTTTCCTCTTTTAAGTGCAGCATACAAAGAGAAATACAAAAAGTCGTTTTTTTTTTTCTACATTATCTTTGTTCTTCTCGATATCTACTTTAGCTTAGTATTTCCTTGATCTTGATATCTTCAAAGTAGATTTGAGTAATTTTTCCTGTTTGTGTTGTCTGCTCTTAGTACTAATAGTCTCTTGCGTTGACCATCTTACGAACCAGTTGTAGTGAGTTATGTGTCAAACATCTTGATGCTTTAGACCATCTGTACTTATATGGTCTTTTAGACGCCATTAGGTGGTACTGAAACAATAACCAATAAGAGATTTCAAACAATTCATCTAAGATAAGAATATTGTTCTTCCCCTAAAACTTCAACATTTCATGTTGTGAAAATTTTGCTTCAATACTTTTGCTAAGACTATGTCCAAAATACACCTTTTAATACTTGGACAGTCCTCTTCCCTTGAGCTAACTTTTGGTGTTGAGCTATTTCTAATATAGTATAGTCTCTTTAATCTTGATGTTGGGCCACCTGCAAATATTAAGTCCTACAATATTCACGCTTATGTCTAGTCCTAAGTGTGAGGGGATTATGTTAATATATCTCACATTAGACAGGAATATGGCAAAAAATGCTTGATATAAGGCTTGGACAATCTTCCTTTCTTGTGCTAGATTTTGAGTTGAGTTAGGGTTGGGCCATTTCTAACAAAAAGGAGACTGAAACTTCATGTTTTCTTTTAAATTTAAATGAAACAAAACAATAATATATTGTATGGTATATGAAAACTTTTGACTGACACCAAAATGGCTTCTTTTTCAGGCATACCTTGCTTTCTTTGTCATCAATGACCTACAAATGGCTCAATCAGCCAAAGCTTTGGTACAAGACAAATTTTGTCCACTTTACATTAATTTTGATCTGTTTAGCTGTAAATAATTTGAAATTTGAATAATGGTGAGGCTGATTTCACACTTTGGTGATTGAATTAGGTTCCTGCTATCATATACATCTGCAGCTTCATCGTATCTATTGCATTACAGGTTCCCTTATTAAGTATCCTTGTTCGACATCTTGATGTATTACATTTCCCATTTTTGTCTATCTCCACCGTTAAACTAGTTTTCTCTTTGTAGGAGATAGCATGGACTGGCCGACTGCTCAAGGCCTACTACTCTGCTGGATGCATTCTTTGGATTTTTTGTGGTGCAGTGATCCTTCTTTTAAGTGCAAACATGAGTTATGTCATGTACATAGCATCAATATTTATTGGCATAGCAAATGCTCTCATGACGGTATGACATGATCTTCACTTGATTAAATTGCCAAAAGTAAACGAGATAAATATCTTATTTTTACCATTTTGAAGCCCCTTTCTCTGTCTTAGACATATTTGTACCAGTGTAGAGTTCTAAACCTATTTTACTTGTTTATCAGACATTGACAACATCAACATAAGGAAAAATTGCTCAAATTTAACCCCAATAATTAGACCATCCATAAAGACAAGAAATTTGAAATCAAGCTGCTACTCAGTGATGTCAATGCTACACCAATGCTTTAGAAATAAAACTAAAATTTTAATTTGTAATACCCAAAGAAAAATTTATTATTCCTAATCATTCCTTTTGATGAAGGTTTGGTTTATACATTTTCCAATTTTTCTTCCTCGTATAAACTGAAGTTGATTTTTTTTTTCTTTTTTGGCTTGATGTTGATTTCTAAATATATCTTAATTGGTTACTAGTATAACACGTGAGATGGATTCTCAGTTTGAGTTTCTACCTTCTTTAATCTTAACTAACATAGGTATAAATCTATCCCTTCATAGTTTCCAGCAGTTAAGGTTCTGACTAGAATGAATTAGTTTTTTAATGTGTACATATTTGTTGGTTTTATAATAGGTGACTGGAGTAAGCATGCAAAATTTTCTCATTGGAGAGAGCCTTAATGGCTGTGCATTTGTTGTTGGATCATTGAGCTTTTTGGACAAAATTTCATGTGGGCTTGCTCTGTACGTTCTTCAGTCATATCAAAGTAAGTTTTTTAATTCTTTTTATCCGATAGTGAAGTTAGACATCGTTATATGTCTACTGTCTGATGAGTGCTGAATTTAGCTTTATATCCAGTTTCTTCTCATGGCTTTGATCAGAAAGGCTTTCATAGATTAATTGTAAATACTCTAAGAACAATGTAAAAACTTATACATCTAGTGGACTACAGTTAAACAACATAACCGAATTGCACCAAAACGTTGGGATACACTTTCGGTTAAATCCTTTTGTTGTTTAAGAATTGCAACAAAAGGTTGGATACATTTTGACATGCAATCATCCATTTTGGTGGTGTAACAACAAAACGCTTTTTGTCATGATGGCATGAGTATGGGTAGAAGACATTACAAGATATGGAGAAAAGACTTGATTATAATATAATCACATGCTTTTGAGATGGCATCACGTGTGAATTTCTCCAAACTTGGATTAGCTCTAAGCAAAAATAATAAGCAAGGACCAACGGAAATTGCAGAACTTATGTGAATTTAAATTCTTAAGACAAACATTGTTTGACTCCAGTGATGGTTATGTATATATCTTGTATGTTAAAGATTATCATTTTATATTTCTTATATTGTTCAAATCATCAATGCAGATATCTCTCCAAAGCTTCAGGGAACACAAATCCCCTTTTCAGTTACAAGGGTTGGATTGGGCCTTGTTCCTGCATTTTGTGCACTAGTTGGGGTGGTTGTAACTTGCACCATGGATTTCCACAATCCTTCTAAGGCTTTGACGATGCCACTATTAGTCTAATGTTGTGGTTGAAAGATAATCATCATCCCTTCTCTAACATACTGGATAAAAAGGTTTGAGTATACTTGGAGAAACACAAGCTGCTATGACCCATTCTTAAAATTTAAGCAGTAATGTGGTCATTAAATATTCTTTAACATACTAGGTAAAAAGGTTTGAGTATATTTATTGAATTGTTCTTATTTATACCAAATATTATGTCAAATGTATATAATGTATTCATATTTGATTGAAATATAATACACTCAATATCTTATTTGATGGTCTAAAGTTGATAATAGCCACACTGAAGCATGTTGAAGTTCTGCATGGCTAATCAGAAAAACAGGGAAGAGATTTCTTTCTACATTATTTAAGTTGAAGTTTTGGAAACCATCTTGTTCAGCAAATCTCATTTAGAATTGAAAATGATTAAGCTTCTTAAATGTACTAAGGGAAAAATTACTGCACTGGTCTTGTTACTCTCTTTCAAATGATTGAGCGATTCTATCTCAAACACGAAAACAAATAATTTACAAAATAAATCCTATAAAGAGTTTGATGTTAATATTTAAAAATAAATCTTTTTTTTTTTACAAAATTAATGTTATAAATGAGGGGTTATTTTTTTTCATATTAAACGAATACAAAATAAAGACTTGGGCCAAAGCTGGCCCAACTAGAAATACTATCCCTTTAATATTGTAATTTTATTTTTAAAAATATATTTTATGATAAAAAAAAGAAGAAGTTAATGTAGCAATGGTTATTTTTTTTCTTATTTTTACTCATGCACCATTCAATGTACACGTCTTCATTGTCTCCCAGCAATATTATTGTACATATTTTAGTCTATTAAATCATCTTTTAAAGTCATTTCAAATTGTGTTTGGGCGATAATCGTTAATCTGCTATTTCATTAATCTTTTTATGTCACTGTAATTACTCTGAAACTTAAGTTCTAAAACTCTGAATTTTCTCGAAAGTTAAATTCTAAAAGTACTACAAACTTAATTTTAAAAAATTGTGAATTATAATTATGAAATTATGTTTTTGAAAGTCTTAGAGCACATTTAATTTCTATTTTAAAAATAGTTTTCAGTTTTTAAAAATAAAATGGAGTACAAATTATAATTTACAAGTTTTCGGAATTAGGTTTTCATAAACTAAATTTTATTCTTTTAGAATTTAATTTTTAAAAGTAAAATAGACTTTTGAAAAGATAATTCTAAAATTATACTCTTTTGAAGTTAGGGATATTTTTGAAAAAAATAAAATTGTATGAAAAGTAAAAATGAGAGGTGCAATGAGCCATCCCCAAAACAAGTTTATGAAAGGTTTAAAATGTTTTAATGCCATTTGAAAAAAAAATAAAGAGTACCATTAATATTTAATATACATATATAAATATTTTTCCAGTAAACTACTATTTTTTTTAAGCCCGTACAACTGTTGTTGGTCAAACTAGCAAATGAGGAATTTGCTTGAAGTAAATTTTTAAGAATGGTTTCATTGACTTTACTCAAATTAATTGAAACTTAAAGTAATTTTCAGATGTTGAATCTTATATTTAATTATAAAAAAATTTGTAATAATAACTTATTTGTATGATTTCAAATGGTGTAATTAATCTTTAAACATGAATATGCAAAATCAAACCAAGCTGTCAAAGTGTCAGTTTCGCTGCATGACTTATATATACGTGGATTAGCTTTCTCTTAGCTATAAATTGATGGTAGTTCAAATGGCCATTTAAATCCCTGTGTCGGTTGGAATCATCAATCAAAAATGTCTTAGTTTCTAAACTTTCTTTTTCCACTTAATTATTATTATTATTATTGTTGTTGTTGTTGTTAAAATGACACTTGTGGCTCTAGTCTTTTGCTATTATTATCACACTAAACTAATAAACTTACACATTAGGAAATGTAAACAAAAATGCTGTCCAATTAGATACTGAAAAGACGAATCAACATTGTGCAATGGCAATATTTAAACACCGCAAGGAAAACTCTGGGCAAACAAATTCTAGGAAACACCTTCCATAAGGAAAATGTTAAAAGGAAATTAAAAAAATCGACTTGTGCTTCTTTTCTAGGATAGACTTGTAACTAGGATTGTTTTAATTATAAAAGATTAAAATAGACCTGTGTAATAATTCCATTTTGATATAATTTAGAAAATGCCCAAACTTCAGTACCCAAAAAAAAAAAATTAAAAAAATAGGGCTTTTGCTATCATGGTCCTTTTCTATCCTCATTGCAAACATGAGGCTCTCATCTATTTCTCACCATTTTTTGAAGCAGATGAGGTGAAGATACACATAATTTTTGAGTGCATAAACGCATAAACTACTTGAATAGATAGTATGAGGGAAATTCATAAAAGAATTGAAAACTAATCACCCTTGTTATACCACAAATTGGAGAAAGAGGGATGAAATTGTTAATAAGAATATACTAGTATTACAAGGGTTTGTCTAAGTTTATCTCATGCAGTAAATAATCCATTCTAAATAGACTAACGAGATTTTGTCCAAATAAAGTTTTTTTATAGAAAAGTTTATATGATTTTTAACATAACATCTTAACTTAATTAGTTTACCTAAGATAGAATAATCTACTCATGATATAACTTAAACAAATCTGTATTAGAAATTGTCATATTAAGAACATATTTAAATGATACAATTGATATATACTCCCATATGCATAATAAGGATACATGAATGTGAGAAAACAGGTGGAAAAGTTTGAAGGCATTTTGTTGGGAAAAATATAAGCACATACATATATGTATATATATGCATAAAATTGATCAACCAAATCATCATGAGCTAGTAATTAAAACCCAAAATTTTTTCCTAGGTTGATAACTTGAAAAGAGGTTTTTTCCCATTATCACCTAAATGAGGATCACGCTTAGCCTTCATCAAATGGCCCAAAACTTTGGCATAACGACGCACCAACTTCTTGAACTTCAAACCTTGGAGGTTGTCTTTCTGTTGCATCCTTACCAACTGAAGATGCTGCTTCTCTTCCTCAGTGAAATGTTCACCAAGTGAGTTCCTTGATCCTTTGCCTCTCTCATCACTACTTCCCTTGTTTGCACCTTTGTCATCTCCTATGATCAACTGCTTCAAGCTCTTGTGATCACTCTCACCACCCTCCTTCACCTCAGCAAGACTTGAAATTTTTCTAGTAGTTTCCAATTTGGCACCCTTTGTTGTAGCATCATCATCATCCACCACTGATTTGTGTTTCTCATTGCCTTGCATTGAAAATTGTTGTTTCCTTGTTCTTCTTGACATGGTGATGTCATAGTGGCGTTTCACTGTTGGGGAATGAACCTCCATTGGATTTTTTGCTATACGGGAATTCACAATCGCTTCTTTTGTTACTAATTGGTTTGGTTGTATATATCAAAGAGAAACCATGGCTATACCCTCTTAGACAGCAAGATCACTCTTGCAAGAAGAAAATGCTCACTTTCTTAAAGTGCAACCAAAGAGGGGGTTAGTTTAGAGGCCTTTCAAAAAGGTGAAATGTCTGTTTTCTGGTTGTCTATGTGTGAAAATTGAAAGATTAACCCTCCAATGCCAATGCATCTGAAGAAAATGAATTGGGGGTGTCACCAAACTCTAGGCAATTCACTGTAATGGGCCACTAGTGAATAGTCCTTGGGCCCAATTAAGTCCAACATTAGATTTATTTGCCTTCTCTTTATCTACATTGAGTAGGTGGCTTTGCAACTTTCAGGTGTAGTGGGAGCTAAGGACCCTTCAATCCACATCTATCATAATTCATAGCTTATGATTTTCTATTTCCCTGACCACATGGCTTAGTACATAGGACAGGGAAAATCCAGAATTAGAATAAGATCTAGTTGTGCATAGTGCATTAAATGAACTTTGCTTAATGTGTGCCTATGGTTATGTTTATGGAGTTTTGTTTGTTGCAGTAGGTCAGTGAAAAGTCAGCATTTTGCTAGGTTTAGTTAAGTTCGTTACCTTTGAGCTAACTGACTAGTTGCCAAAAACTGATGACATCCCTGTTTGTGTATGAAGGAAATAGTTCTATTTTTTCCCTTCTTTCTAAGCCATTGAATGAATGGTCACTAGAAGAAAGCATGATAGAGTTGTTCTTGCCAATGTGAAATTCATGATAATCTCCTCTCTCCAAAGTGTATTAAATGGTTACATGGTAGTGTCTTGTTATCATGAGAGGAAGGAAAAAAAAATCCACATATTTTAGAAAATGTTCTCAATTTTTCAACATGAATTATTTGCAGTTTCTTACCTTAAAACAGTTGTGAAATATTCTTAAGAAAAAATGAGAACAGAGTTCCATATTTGAACAACTAAAAGTTGATACTGTATATAATTATTTTCTTAATTCGTATAATCCCAAAATATAATTGAAAAAATTAAGGGGACAACTTTAATTGTCTCCAAAATAATATACAAAACATTTTCTCATGTATATTGAGGAAAATCATTTGAAATTCGTTTATGTATATTTTTACTTCATTGCTATTAACTTAACACAGTTAACTAATCAAACACATTATTTAATTTTTCTCATATTTCAAATTCTAACTCTCACCATCCAAATTTTCAATTGAACACAAATTGAATTTTAATTCAATTTCAATGTATTGATTCTTAGGTCCAACACCCACATGCAACTGGGTCTACACAGACAAGCCCCATACAAGGCCAACCCATGCTATGTAGTTACCAAGCACTTATGGGCCCTTAATCCCAACCCCACATTCCCACTGTTCCACGGACAAAGCTAAATACTTGACCAAACCTAAACTAACAACACATAATAATTGAATAGTGTAAAAGAATAAAAACTTTACGCTAGTAATAAATTTAAATTAAATTCATTTTTGCTGATAAACTTTCCTTATATATATCTATAAATATATCTGTTTTGACATTTGAGTATGCAATATATACATATACGAAACAAATCACCATGTTCCTTTGTCTCATATCTTTTCAAACGTAAAATGATACTTCAATTTAAAAAAAAATAAAAATCAATGGAATAACAATGTTATCTGAAAAAAGATATTTTATTAGAGTATTATCTTTTAATTACAGAAACAGGACAGAAATGTAAAAAAAAAAAAAGAGAGAGAATTTAAATCTATACATGTTACTTTTCAAGTTTAGATAGTTTATATTGTTAACGTGTTATATATTAAATAAATGAATATAATTAATAGAGGATGAGTGAGTAATTCCGTAATATAAATTTTACGATAAATAAAAGCATAAAAAATCTTAACAATTAATGCATATAAAAAAGGATCTTTATTTCTAATACAACCTTCAGAGCTATTTATAAGAAATGAATACTTAATTCATTAATTTAAAAAAAATAGTTATATGTCATAAATTTATATTCTATTCTAAAATATTTATAACATTAAATAGTCAAATTAAAATGTTATATATTAAATAAATGAATATATTTACTTTCATAAATAAAATGTGAGTACTTTGTTAATTTAAAATTTTTAATAAATAGAATATAAAAAGAATTTAATAATTCATGCATATAAAAAAGGTCTCTATTTTTCATAAATAGGAGTGGAGTATTAATATATAAAGGAGAAGTTATGTGAATCAATATGGAAAATAATATTTTTTAAATTTTTTCATGTTTTTATTAAAAACTTGAATGTTGATATAAAAGTGAATTATAAAAATATTATTTTAAATTTTTATTATTAAATTAGAATATTTTTAGGTAATTAATATCATGACTAAGTTAGAATGCATGATATTTCTCAACTAATGGAATAGAATGAAATATAACTTGTTTGGACTAAGTGTATATTCAAGTTGTATAGTAAAAATTATTGATTGAAGTTAAAGATATTAAGTAAATTTTGTGGTATGTTTAAAAACTTTAAGAGTACCGTATAAAAAAAAATTAACCAATAATACTTAGTCATATATTTAACTAATAAATTTATTTAATAATAAATTATTATATTTTTTATTTTATTTTATTTATTAATTAGTCCCTTAATAATTATTATTAATTAAAAAATAAAATTTAAGTTTACATTTTTATAGGTTTTGACCAAATAGAGTACAAAGCCAACGAGTCTTTAAGTAAGTAGGCAAACAACGTAACAAGTTTAAAGGTGGGATCAAGCTTAAAAGGAATGGACATGTCTAGGCTTAAAAGTGAACACAAACTCCGTGCTTATAGATATGAAATCAATGAGTTAAAAGATAAATGTCGAGAGAGACTGTTAGACTTCTTTATTGTGTTGTAAAGAAAGATCAAAGAGAAAGATTTTCTTACACAATGCGAATACTAGATGGAATAGACAGAGAATAAATATAATAATCCACCAAAGGGACATACCTCAGGAGTACCAATCTCTCTCGACAAACATCTATATGCACAAAGCTGACTTATGCTATGAGTAAAAATAAAAAATGAAAAACAAAATGGGAAGTGTGACGGAGAGTACACAGCCGAACAACCACAAGGGTTTCCAACAGTGATAGTTAAACTAACCACACTGAGCATCCATAGGGCAAATGTTTCGCTGAGTGAGCTACGTTTTTTCTTCATTGCAAATTTTAGTGGCATTGTAAAACTTCATCTGTATTGGGAATTTGAATACACATTAGGACCATTTAGCAAATAATATAAATAATATAAGTTTTAAATAAATTATATATAATAATATATATTTTTTATAATGTACCACGTTTTGGGGACAGTACTTATCAAAAAATTTTAGGGTATCACAACACACACCTTTGTATCATTATTAGATGAACACACACACACACACACACACACACATATATATAAAAATATCACCTTTTAGGTGTGTGTGTGTGTGTTCTTCCTTTTTTCAACTCTTAGTTATTGACTTAATTATAATTTTCGGTCTATATAAAAATATCACCTTTTAGGATAAGTCTTTAAAAAAAATTGTTAGGAGTTTGTTCCTGACATTCTTAAAATGTAAGTTTGTCAATTGTAATATGTTAAGTGATAACCTAAATGGTAAAAAAATCAACTTAAGCACATCATTGTCATGTCTTCATTGTTTTTATATTTTATTATGTAAAAATTAATATTTTCAAAATAGTTATTCCTTCTTCAACCTTTTTTCATCTTAGTCTTCTCAATTAAATTTCAAAATCCATTATTCTATCTCCTACTAATAGAAAGTAATAGTTTTTCTTGACTCTCTTCCAATCTTCTCAAAATTTAAGGGAATAATATCACAAATTAATCCACAAGTTTTTTTGATTTCACCTATTAAGCCACAATTAAGTCAAGTACCAAATAATGTCTTTTTAGGAGGTGATTCCTCAGAATGGCATTAATCTCCAAAAGCTGACTCCAAACTTTGTCTCATGAGTGCTTGTGCTTCTACTAAAATCACCATTACAAATTGCATGTTCAGAGGCAGTGATACCCAACCCTGTAACCTTATGGAAAGGTTAATGATAATATCGCATATAGAATCGTCTCTTGCTCTTATTTGGTAGTTAAGGTAGGAGGCATAACTATTGACAGTGAAGACGTTGCTCAACTTACAAATATTATGAGATCATTTTAATGGATGTTACTCACAATGCTATAAGAAATGATCCAAGGATTAACTAGTTTTGCAATTGAGTCCATAAACACAGGGGACTCTACATGGCCTCACTTTTGCTGGGAATGTAAACTATAATGAAGTTATGCAAAAGTGAAAATGGATCGACAATATTATCCTCTAGCTATTGCAAATTGCTTCGCAATTTTAGTTTTTCAAACTCTTACTCGCTCAAAGCATGATGGTGTATTGTATTTTGAATAGATGAACGAATTTAGTAACCTAAAACAAATGAGATTGTAAGATATTTATAGGGCTCTATCTATCATGGAGCCCAAATCATGGAGTGCTAATAATATTTTGAAAAATTAGCAAAGTAACCTCCATATGAAAACAACCCAATGTCAAATAATAGGAATGATATGGATCACGGTATGTTCTCAAAAAATAGGAACTAAAAATTGAAATGGATTGCTAAAATTCTTCCATTTTATTCATTCATCCCACTATCGACCATAATAAGAAACCAAATATATGAATCATAGTGACAATTTCTCTAATGGTGAGTATTACCTCCTATGTATCACAATATATCAAGCCCCTCAACACTAGTTCTCAACTTAATGAATAAACTACATGTTCATTGAAGGTCAAAAATAAATGATATCTCTCAAATAAATAAACAAATATATGTACAAAATAGAAGAGAAAACATTAAAACTAAATAAGAGTTTTATCAAAATAATAAAAGTACCCACAAAAATTGTCACATCATGAAACTAAATCTTATTTGTATTACATAATCTTTAAAATTCTTCGGTGACATGCCTTTAGTCAAAGGATTAACAATTATTAACTTAGTGCTAACGTGCTTAATGACTATTTTCTTTTCCTTAACACATTCTCTTATGGTCTAAATATTTAATGTCGATGTGTTTACTTTGACTTCCACCCTTGTTATTATTAGCCATAAATACTGCAATAAAGTTGTTACAGTAAAATTT